TGTGTGTGTGTGTGTGTGTGTGTGTGTGTGCGCGTGTTTGTGTGTGTACTGCCAGAACATATACAGCATTTAATTTTTTATACTGGATTTTTAAAATGCTAGGAATTATTTAAAGTATGAATTGTTACAATGTGGAGATACCACACCTAGCTGCCCACCCATATTATATATTTCTACATAAAACTAACTTGGCTTACAAGGTTTAATATTCTATATTTATTATTCCAATGTACATATATGAAGTGAAGTTTAGGCTACTGTTTATTAGCAATTAGTCCATTAACCCTTTTACCTGTTAGATACTATCAGTAAAAAGCATTAGCTGCCTCAGGCAGGATGCTCTATTTATCAGGACTGTGGGGTTTTAGTTTTGTTTTTGCTTTTTAACTTGGGGTGATATGAATGGGTGGAAAACCAAACTCCATTATTTTTATATGGCAAGAAACTTTTTGCTTGAAAATTGATATTCATACTATAATTTTTCCAAACAAATAAATAAAGCAATTTTCCAGAGGGCCAAGCAAAGCGAGAGATAGAGGGCTTTGCTGGAACCTCATGCCTTCCTTGGATTGCAGCCTGACTTTACCTCCCACCAATTCCTACCAAGGTAACTTCAGATGTCCATGCCTTATGTTAAAATAGGAAAGATGGCGATGCCTTCATGTTTCCACCCTGCTTTCTCCCTAAATGCAAAGTACTACACTTGGTTGGAAAAAAAATTCAGTTACAGAAGTAAAAGATGAGGATAAGGGGCTAGAAAGCAATTGATATGGTTAAGTCTTAGAATAGGAGCTGATACATGCTTATTGATTAACGGAGTCTTTAGTGAACTGCAAGCTCTACATAGGTAAGACCCGAGGTAAGACATTTAACAGGCTGAACGAAGTGAGACTATTTAGCGTGGAGAAGAAGAGTCTCTGAGGGACCAGTATGTGAACGGCTGTAAATTAGTCAATCAACTAGCATTTATTAAAGGACTCCTTGTGCTAAGTGGCCTGCTATGTGGCTTATCTTCTGAGTTCAAATCCTGCCTTGGATACTTACTAGTTGTAACCCTGGCCAAGTCACTTAACCTTGTTTGCCTGAGTTTCCTTATCTATAATATGAGCTGGAGAAGGAAATGGCAAATCACTCCAGTATCTTTGCCAAGAAAACCCCAAATATAGGATCATGACAAACTGGACATGACTGAAAAACACCTGAATGTACTAGGCAATGTGCTAAGTTCTTGGGATACAAAGAAACGTAAAAAAAACAAAACAAAACCCCAATTCCTGCTGTCAAGGATCTCACAGTCCAATGGAAGAGACAACATGCAAACAACTATACACAAACTCTCTCTCATATATATGTGTGTGTGTGTATATATATATATATATAATATATATATGTATATACATACACATATATACATATATACTTACATACACACACACATACACACACACACACACACACAGAGGATGAATTAGTCTCAGAGGGAAGGCACTAAAATTAAGGATGACTATGGAAAACTTCTTGTAGAAGGTGAGACTTTAGCTGAGACGTGGAAGAAGCCAAGGATGCTAGGAGGTGATAATGAGGAGAGAGACACAGTGCTCCAGGAATGGGCGGCAGCCAGTGAAACTTCTCTGAACTGGAAGATGGGAGTGTCATGTGCAAGGAACACCAAGGAGGAAAGAGTACATGGAAGGAAATTAGGTGTCACATTGTAGAGGGAATAGAATTGGTCTGCTTGGCCTCACAAGGCAGATGGAAAGGATATTAAAGGATGGAAGCCACAGAGAGGCAAATTTTTACTTAATATAAGGAAAAATTCCCTCACCATTAGAGTTGTATAAAAGTGGAGTAGGTGGCCTCATAAGGTAGTGAGCTCCCCATCACTGGAGATCTTCAAGGGAAAGCTGAATGGCTACTTTTTATGGACAGCAAAGTTATCAGTGATCATAAGTGCTACATCTGGTGGCTTTTTCTCAATGCTCACTATCACTGACCCCTCTAAGCTTCAGATACTATTTGCCACTCCCCCTGCTTCCTGGACACTGTTCTTCCTTGGCTTCTGTGACTTGGTTCTCTTTTGGTTCTTTTCCTAACTTCTCCTTATTCTTCCATGATGGAATATTGTCAACCTCTCTCTTCTTATTCTTAAGTCTGACCCCTTCTCCTTATTCTTTCATGATGGAATATGTCAACCTCCTGCCACTGAGAGTGTTCCTAGGACTTTGTCCTTTGTGCCCCAACCCCACTCCCCACTTTTTCAATCTCTCTCAACACTTTTCTCTTGGACATCTCATCAGCTTCCAAATTGGGTCATCTCTTTACAGATGACATCAAGACATACACTCTGTTATTGTTCAGGTGTGTCTAATTCTTCGTGACCCTACTTGAGGTTTTCTTGGCAAAGATACTAGAGTGGTTTGCCATTTCCTTATTTTACAATTCATTTTACAGATGAGGAAACCGAGGCAAACAGGGTTAAGTGACTTGCCCAGGGTCACACAGCTAGTAAGCGTCTGAGGCCAGATCTAAACTCAGTTCAGTCTTCCTGACTTGAGGCCTGGCACTCTACCCACTGTGCCACTTTGCTGCCTCCTGCCCACTGAGGGTGTTGCCAAGGCTTTGTTGTTGGTTTCCCCTTTTTTACATTTCTCAACAGTCAATCTCTTAGACCTCTCAGCAGCTACTGAATCAAGTTATCTCTTTACAGATGATTTCCAGATCTCCATATCTAACCCTAATATATCCTCCAAACTTGAGTCATACATTGTCAATTATCCTCCTAGATAAACCACATTTATGAGGCATTTTAAACTCAATATATCCAAAAGAGAACTCATGAATTTCCCCCTTAAATTTGCTACCAGTTCCAACTTGCCTGTTTCTGTTAAGGGCAGTCATCCTGGTTTGTAACCTTAAGAATCACTGTTGACCCTTCCCTCTCTCTCATACTTATTATCTAATAAGTTGCCATGTCTTACCAATTCCAGCTCCGCAGCATCTCTCAGATCTGTCTCTTTCTCTCCACTCTTATTGCCAACATTCTGATTCAGGCTTTCATCACCTAGACTAGCATAATAGCCTCTAAAATGGTCTCCTTTCTTCCAGTCTGTCTCCAATCTACCCTTGATGTAGCTGCCTAAATCACAGGTCTGAACATGTCACCTCCCCTAACTGGTTTCCTTAGCCTGGCATTTAAATACTTCTACAATCTGGCTCCACATCTACCTCTCCAGCCTTATCTAATACTACACCCCTTCATGAACTCTGGGTTCTAGCCAAATTGGACTAATAGCTGTTGCCTGAACTTCCTAGTTCATTTCTAACCTTTATCCATTTATACAAGTCACTCCATATGCCTGGAATACATCTTCTCTTCATCTTTTCCTCTCAGAATCCTTATCTTCTTTCAAAGTTTCAAGTCATGTACCAATTGATTTGGTCTCCTCCGTGAAGCCTTACTTAATTTCCCCAGTCGTCAGGGCTCTCCCTCAGCTTTCCTTGCATTATATTTAATTGTGTACATGTTGTGTCTCCCTAATCAAATATAGGTTCTTGGAAGGCAGTGACTTTTATTTCAGTCAGTCATTTAGGCCTTTATATTTCATAGTACCTAGCCTAATGTCTTATTACATATTATAAATGATAAATAAATGAATGCAAATTTGATATCACAGTGGGTCAGAGTATTTTTATTCAGGTATGGCTTATATTGGATGACTTCTAAAGTCCTTTTCACTGCCACAATTTTATGACTAATCCTCCCATAAATATGAGTTTTTAACAGTGAAATTAAAATTATTTCTCTTAAATGCTGGTCTTTCTGTTAACAAGCCTTTATTGGTCATGAAGCAGAGAATCAGGTTTACTTTTTATTTGTAGTAAAGAATAATAACAGTATCCACATAAAGCATTTTACATTTATTTATTTATTCTTTACTCACAGCAACCCTATGAGGAAGGTAGCATGATTATGATGCTCATTCTCTTTACAAATGAGGAAGCGGGGGCTCAGATAAAATGATTTGATTTGGCTAAGGCCGTTCAGCTGGTGAGTGTTGGAATCTAGTCCTCTCTTCACAAAATCACAACGTTATGAGTTCAAACTAGTCCTCTTATGGCCTGGTGATAGTTTCTACTAGGATTTGCTTTATTTGGTTATTTAAAATAGGAATATATGTGTTGACAAAAATTTGTGAGCTCCTCTGTGGCACCATACCTTCTCAGGGACTTTGATTATGTCTATATTTGGGACTGACATTTTTGAATTTTTCTATTTTTATTTCTTGTGCTACTAGTTACAACTGACTTATATCTCATCCAGCAGAGCTAGACAACTGCTTATTGGAGTGAATGTAAAAGTGATTCTTGCTTTAAGCCTGAATTGGACTTTTGGGCTCCCCATCCAAGTATGATACTTTAAGATTCTATGCTTTATAAAGCTTCATGTTTTATAATAATTTCATCTATTATGATTGTTAATATATTTTCAGAGGCATGTGTGGTTTACTTATATAAATAATTTGCATCATGAAGTTGTCTTACTTGTGTACGTCAGACATAAGTCTGAGGGACAAAGCATGACACACACACAGCCACATTCTGAGGCCTTTTAACCTTAGGCAAATTAACTTCTTCACTTTGGTTCCTCATTGATATGATGGGAAAAATAATATTTGCCCCGAACCAGATACAATGTGAAAATTGGTTAAGAATCAAAAAAAGTTCTGAGAAAGGTGCTTTATAAATATCTTTTGTAACTCTGCTAATGAGAGAAGAAAAAAATCCTAACTCTAGCATTCAGTAAAAGCCTTCATCATTCAGGTAGCATGAACATTTATGGAACAATTTCCCAGAAGAATATGTAGATTGGAAGCCCCCTTGGGTGTACATAGTACTTACCAGGAATAAAATTTTAAAAAGAAGTTGGGGGTCAACTTTGCACACCTAAATAATTTTTGCCCTTTTTGTTCCATAAGAACATGAGGAAAGAGTCAGCTTACCTTGTTGATTTGACTAAAACTCTCTGTGGCCCCTTTATTTGCTGCCTCCCCATCTGCTTTATCCTGCACATTTTCATTCTCATCAAGGAGTTTTACAGGGACAGGTGGTGGGGCTTCTTCCTCGACATCCAAGGAATTTCCAAGCACACTCTCTGCATTGACGCTGTGTCGACTTTTTTTATTTCGGTCCACAGAGGCATATTCTGCAGACTCAACTTTGTTTACAGGGTGAGGGCCCTGAATCTCTTTAAAGGCAGTTACAGAATTTGGTCTTCCATTTTGGCTTTTTTCTAGGTTGGCTGCTGTTCCCACTTCCTTTATTTCCTTCACAGTTTCATACAGACAATCTTCCACCATGTTTTCCTGGGAGGAGCTATCTTTGAGAACTTCATATGGTCCTTCCATCCCAAGACCCTGATCACCGTCTACATTTCTTGTGGTAAGAATAGTATCCAAGGAATCATTAGGAGGAATTCTAGGTAATTCCCGGCTTTGATGACATTTTGCCGACTTTCCTGTGCTGTCCTGGGAATCCAACAGGTCAGAAATAGAAGTCTGTACTTCTTCATAATGTTGCATGCATGTCATAGTACTGTCTTCTGAAAGAACTGTAATAGTAGCAGGAGAAGAAAGAAAGAATTAAAGTAAGAGATTCAAGCTAAAGCATTACACTGTGTGATTTACCATATAGTAAAGTGAGGAAAAATCATAACGCTTCTTCTTCCTTGACTTTAAGAAGAAAATTATAGAGACATGACTATGGACTAAGGATTCAAATTATTCTCATAATTTGGAAGGAAACGAACTAGCATATCTCTCAAATTTAAACTGTAGCACTTCAATAAATCTAGTTAGTTGTATTAACTTCACCCATGACAACTTTAGGTTTTAAATTAATTTCAACAAAACTTCATTTTTATCTCCAATGCTACTCCATTGAATGAGGGACACCATTTGTCTCAGAAGAATATTCCTTCACTTTATTACAAATAGCCTTACATGCCTTTTGTTCTAAATATGGTACCTACCTGTTACCATACTTCAATGTGTGTATAACACTGTTTTACCAGAGACCCCCACCCCCCAAAAAATCACTTTTTGTGTCACTTGTGGGAAAAATAATGACACTTACTCTAACTCTTAATTAGAAGTCACTTTTTTCCATATTCACTGACTCTACTGGTCCCTTCAGGTTATGTGAGACAGGACAACCAATGATAGTTTTGGGATAAAAGGCCCTTTGGGGGTGGGGGTAGAAAACAAAGGTCATTTCCTCCATGTTACCTAGGCAGAATATCAGATTTTTTCGTACAGAAATTATGGCATTACTTGTGATCATCTCTACATTTCTGGAGGCATGTTTGTGACCAACTAGTCAACACAGCCAGCTCACTTACGCTAGAAGTGATATCACCCATAAGCCAGTGGCTGGGCATATTTTTTCTTTTTTTTAGGTTCTTTCCCACCCTGCATGCCAAACCTGATAAGAAGGTCTGAAGCCTGAATTCTAAATTCTCAGTTTGCCAATGAATTGTTAATGTTGTAAGACCTTATGCAAGCTATTAAATCAATGTTTTTCATTTTATTGGGAATGTCCTATTGGGAAAGTTTGATGCTATGGACCAGTAACTCAAGTTTTAAAAAATATAAAATACCACCTATATTCTAAGAGCTTAGACTTAACAAAGGTTGGAAGATGTTTCACATGTTTATCTTCTAGCTCTAACAGAACTTCAGTGATGATCATTATGTACCTAATTCAGTTCAACAAACATTTATTGACCTTCCATATGATAAGCACTGTGTTAGCTGCCAAGAGTTGTAAGATACAGCTAATTCAGATTATATTATCAGAGAAAGCAAATTATAACTAGGAGCCATAGAACCAGGAAATATCAGAGCCAGTAGAAAATTTAATATCTGCAACTCAATGAGATTTGTAAAACTGGTTCTAAAAGTGAGTAAACTGATAGAAGTTAAGTTTAAACTATATTACTTAGAGTTTCTGTACATATTAAGTTCAGAATATGATGAAGTATGTATGATGAGATTTCTACATATTGGAAAACTCAGCAGAACTTACTGTCTCCATTGGTAAGGCCCCCATTTTGTTCACTGCTTGCAGGAAGTTCGGTACCCAAACTAGTAACTGAATGGCTGAACATCTCCTTATCTGAAGGCTGTAAAAAATGAACATATAACATAGCTAAGAAATGTATTCTGCATTGTAACAAAGGGCTTAAAACAAAGTGATTAAAAAAAAACCCTCAACAACCTAAGGGAAAGATGTAGCAACAGAAAATTATGTCCTGAAGATGGTAAAGTACAGGCTGGGATGCAGCTGAACTCTCCCGATATTACCTTTCAAACAAGTTTAAAATAATGCCTCAAACATGTATAATCTATATCAGATTGCCTGCCGTCTAGGGGAGGGGGAGAAGGAAGGGACAAAGGGAGAAAAATTTGGAACTCAAAACCTTATAAAAAATGAAAACTATCTTTACATGGAATTAGAAAAAAAAATACTATTTTAAAATGTCTCAAATCAAATATTGGAGTGTCAGGGTTAACAAAAGGTCAGAGGGAGATATTTTTCCAGCCAGACAACTTAGGAGGTTCAGAAGAAAAGTCTGTGATATTGAGGTGGACACAAACCTGGATTGGGCCAGGAGCACCAGTGGTAGGCCTTGGAGGTGGCCATGATTGACAGAAGCTTCAGGAGCTCTCTGCGCAGAGATGGTAAAGGGGTCAGTCAGCTGGTCACAAAGAGATCATAAGGGACTCTTTGCTGGCACTGGGTGCAGCTGGTGCTGATTGGCAACTCTGTAAGCAGTTCTGGGTTGCAGTTCCAGGATGGAGAAGGGAGCAGGGTACCGGATCATAATTCCAGGGCTAAGAGGGACACTAGTACTTGCAGCTGAAGAGGAACCGGGTCCTTCCTGGGTAAAAACCAGAGTGCAGACCAGGAGAGCAGTGACTACACCTCTCCAAGATAATATAACCTTGAAAGCACTGAAAACTTGCATACTCCCAGAACTAGCTCTGAAGACAGTCACACAAAAAAGCCTAAACCTTGGTACAGTGCCTTCCAAGCCCAGATGAGCAGAGTCCAACTTTAACATAAAGTTCAAAGTTCAAATAAGATGGGAAGATGAGCAAACAACAACAACAACAAAAAGAGCTTGATCACAAAGAGCTACCACGGCAGTAGTGAAGACCAAGACATAAACTCTGAATAAGACAACAAAGTGAAGAATAATCATTGGACCCAAGGCCAGCAAGAATTCCTGGTAGAGTTAAAGAGAAATGAGTGGTGAAGGAAAAATTGGGAAAAGAAATGAGAGTGATACAAGAAAATTATGAAAAGAGAATTAACAGCTTGGTAAAAGAGGCACAAAAAAAAAATACTGAAGAAAATAACACCTTAAAAAACAGAACTGGCCTAATGGTAAAAGAGGTATAAAAGCTCACTAAAGAAAACTAAAAAAATTCACTGAGGGAAAGAACTCCTTAAAAAGAAGAATTGGCCAAATGGAAAAAGAGGTACAAAAGCTCACTGAAAAAAACAATTCCTGAAAAATTAGAATTAGGAAGCAAATGACTCCATGAGACATCAAGAAACAATGAAAGGTAAAATTAATGAAAATATAGAAGAAAAAGTGAAATATCTCATAGGAAAAACAACTGACCTGGAAAATAGATTGAGGAGAGAAAATTTAATAATTATTGGACTACCTGAAAGTCATTATCAAAGAAAGAGCCTAGACATCATATTTAAAGAACTCATAAAGTTTTATTCTTCAAGCATTGACTGCCACCACCACTATCTTTATACAGAGAATGGTGGTGGTGGCAGGCAATGCTTGAACCTTGCTCTAATAGTAACTGTTCAAAGAGGGAAGAATATATAAACACACTCAGTTAGTGATAGAAATCTATCTTACTCAACAGGGAGATAGGAGGGGAAGAAGATAAGAGTTTGGGGGTAGGGAGAGAGATGATAAAAGGGAGGGCAGATTAAGGGAGGCAGTGGTTAGAAGTAAGACAGACTTGAGGAGGGACAGGGTAAAAAGAGAGAGAAGGATAATAGATAAAGGATAAACAGGATGGAGGGAAATACAAAGTTAGTAATCATAACTGTGAATGTGAACGGGATGAGCTCACCCATAAAACAAAAGCAGATAGCAGAATGGATTAAAAACCAGAATCCAACAATATTTTGTATACAGGAGACACACTTGACACAGAAAGACACATACAGAATTAAAATAAAGGGCTGGAGCAGAATCTGTTATGCTTCAGCTGACATAAATAAAAAAGCAGGGTTAGAAATCATGATCTCGGACAGAATAAAAGGAAAAATAGACCTAATTTAAAAAAGAAGATAATCAGGGAAACTACATTTTGCTAAAAGGTACTATAGGCAATGAAGTAATATAAAAAAAATTTATATTTTTTTTAAGTTTAAAGGCCTCATTTCTCAAATATACAGCGGACTGAGTCAAATTTACAAAACAGTCATTCCCAATTGATAAATGCTCAAAGGATATGAACATGTAGTTTTCAGAAGGAGAAATTAAAGCTACCAAAGTCATATGGAAAATGCTCTAAATTAGTATTGATTAGAGAATGGCGAAGATGGCAGAAGGAAAGCAGTGACTGTCTTGAGCTCTCTCCCAAAGCCCTCCAAATACCTAAAAAAATGGCTCTAAACAAATTCTAAAGCAGCAGAACCCACAAAAAGACAGAGTGAAACAAATTTCCAGCCAAAGACAGCCTGGATGGTTGATCACAAAGGTATATCGCGCCAGGTGGGGAGAGAAGGGCAGTTCGGTGTGGGCGCGCAGGCTGCAGCGAACCTGAAGCAGGCCTCAGAGGACTGAATCACAGGCAGCTGTGATGGTTTCCAGACTTCTCAACCCCTGAACGTCAAAGACAACTTAGAAGGTCAGTGGGAAAAGTCTGTGGCTGTGGTGAGAGAGGAGCTAGGTCTCAGCCACAAATCTCGAATGTGGCCCAAGAGGCTGCGGCTTTTTCCTGAGCTTCTGGCCCACTGACCGAGGAGGAATTGAGTGGCTGATTAGAGGGGGATTGCAGGGATCTCTTTGCCAGTGCTGAGGCAGGAATCTCTTGCTTTACTGGTGCTTAGATCTGGGTCACAGTTCTGAGGGGCGGTCCTGGGGCGAGGAGGAACGCTGGTGCAGTGGAGTTTGTTGTGGTGGTGGAGAGAAAACACCTCGCCCCTTATCATACCACCTTGGAAGAACTGAAAATTTACAGGTCCCTAGAAGTAGCTCTGAAAACAGCTGTACAAACCCCCGAAGCTTGGGACAGTACACTCTTCACATTGGAAGCAGACTTTTACCTTAACAAAGAGTTTAAAACTCAAGTAATTGGCCGGGATCATGAGTAAGCAGTGCAAAAAGAATCAGACTATATTATCTTACTTTGGTGACAAAGAAGACCAAAACATACAACCAGAAGAAGACAACGAAGCCAAAGCTCCTACATCCAAAGCCTCCAAGAAGAATATGAATCAGTCCCAGGCCTTGGAAGAGCTCAAAAGGGATTTTGAGAAGCAAGTAAGAGAAGTAGAGGAAAAATTGAGAGTGATGCAAGAAAATCATGAAAAACAAGTCAACAGCTTGCTAAAGGAGACCCAAAAAAATACTGAAGAAGATAACACCTTAAAAAATAGCCTAACCCAAATGGCAAAAGAGGTCCAAAAAGCCAATGAGGAGAAGGATGCCTTAAAAAGCAAAATTGGCCAAATGGAAAGGGAAGTCCAAAAGCTTACTGAAGAAAATACTTCCTTAAAAATTAGAGTAGAGCATTTGGAAGCTAGTGACTTTATGAGAAATCAAGACACTGTAAAACAAATCCAAAAGAATGAAAAATTAGAAAACAATGTGAAATATCTCATTGGAAAAACAACTGACCTGGAAAATAGATCCAGGAGAGAGAATTTAAAAATTATTGGACTATCTGAAAGCCATGATCAAAAAAAGAGCCTGGACATCATCTTTCAAGAAATTATCAAGGAAAACTGTCCTGATATTTTAGAACCAGAGGGCAAGATACAAATTGAAAGAAATTGAAAGATTAGAGAATGGCAAATTAAAACAGCTATGAGGTACCAGTTCACACCTGTCAGAAATGACAAATGCTGGAGGGAATGAGAGAAAATAGGCATGTCAATGAATTGCTGATGGAGAAGTGAACTGGTCCAACCATTCTGGAGCACAATCTGAAACTATGCCCAAAGGGCTATAAAACTGTACATACCCTTTGATTAAGCAATAGCACTACCAGGTTTATATCCCAAAAAGATCAAAGAAAAAGGAAAAGGACCTATACGTACAAAAATATTTATATTTAGGGAATGGCTCAACGAGTTGTGGCACATGATTGAGATGGAGTACTATTATGCTATAAGAAATGATGAGGGGGGTGATTGCAGAAAAACATGGCCAGACCTATATGAACTGATGCAAAGTGAAGTGAGAAGAACCAAGAGATCATTGTGCACAGTAACAGCAATATTATAATGATGATTAACTGTGAAAGACTTGACGAATCTGATCAATACAATGATTCAAGACAATTCCACACACACTCTCTCTCTCTCTCTGACATGGCTAATATGGAAACATGTTTTGCATGACTTCACATGTATAATTGATATTATATTATTTGCTTTCTCTATGGGTCAGGGAGGAGTAGGATGGAGACAGAGAATCTATAACTTAAAATTTAAAAAGAAAAGAATGTTAAAAGTAAATAAAAATTGCTGAGGGCAGTACCAGAAAGAAAGAAAGAAAGAAAGAAAGAAAGAAAGAAAGAAAGAAAGAAAGGAAAGAAGGAAGGAAGGAACTTATGTCCTATACAAATTCTTCAATATTAACTGAGTTAACCACAGGGTATCTTTCAAAGTATCAGACTAATTCCCTTTGCCTCTAGGTGGGAACATCCATATCATACTAGATCTATTATAGTCTAAAAGATCGTTATAGAAGAATCCATGATCTAACCTAAACTGGTATTGAAATACGCAAAACAATATGCTAAAATTTAGCTCACTAACTAATCAACAAGCATTTATTTATCACTTAGCTTTCATCCCTTTCCCAGAACACTGCACAGAATCTACCTGAGCCTTCTAGAGGAAACAAGTCTCAGGGGTTGAGGAACAGAGGGTGTTAGGCTAAGAGGGTGGGAGAAGAGTGTGAGAGATGGGGGACCATTTCCTCCTTTGCTGCCCCTCCAGGCCTGAGGCTCAGAACCCATTTAGGCTCCTTGATTATTTACAGCTCTTATACAAGATGGGAGTCACTTACTCTATTCCATCCTAAGAGATAGAAAACCACTAAGCTTTACCATTCATCCATCTTCTACAATTGTCTGACTTATCATGTAACTTAAGGATCCCTGGGCCTTGATCTGCTTAGCCACTGCACCTTAGGACTTGACAGGATTTTCTGTCTATTCTGCAAATGTACTTCCTTTTATGCGTTGTCTTCTCCAATTAGGGTGTCAGTTTCTTGAAAGGACAGTCTGCCTCAAATTTTCTCTTTCGATTCCTAGCCCTTACCACAGTATTTGGCACATAGTAAGTGCTTAAAGAATGCTCATTTCATTCATGCATTTGTGTGCCAGACACTTGGATAAGTGCTTGGGATACAAATAAAAAGCAAAACCAGTCCCTGATGTCAAAGAACTTGCATTCTAAATCTTACTTATTCTCAAAAACATATACAAATAAAGGTAAATGGGACATCTGGAAATAAGAATGACCTTTCAGGGTCATTTTGCTATTTTACTCAGGTTAGTTGACCTCCTCAAATATTATAATATATGGCAAATTTAAGTATAATATTATAATATGTGGCTACTGTGAGCAAATAGTGTTCAAAATTGTAGTTAGAAATAATTTAGCTATAGTATATGATTATAATCAGGAAGGTAACTAATTGGCAGTAGTGTATCTCTGTTTAAATTACCTCCATAGTAAAGTTAAGCAATTTACAAGTCAAAACAAAGCTGTCAACACTGAAAGCATTTCCTTAAAAAATCATGCTGTTTCCCTTCTGCTCCACATTCCAAATATCAGTATAAAACGATAAGAACTGAAAATCCCATATTCTAATTTGCCCACATGATAATTTGTGTTACTACTGTGAATGATGTGAATTATTTAATCCTCCTCTTTCCCCCATTCCCATTTCATAGTATATGCCATATAAGATGAGAGAACATCCTGGTATAACCCATTAAGTCCTTTCCAAATGGTCTACTGTAAAAGGCATGGAATTGTGGATGTATTTGGGCACATGACTATCTCCACATGATAATCCCCACCACCTAATGGGGAAGCCAGCATTCAAACAACTCTGTGCAAAGATATATACAAGATAAATTGGAGATCATTAACAGAAGGAAGGCAAAGTTCCAGTCATCCTGCTTTAATTATGGTTCTGGTCTAAAGAAGTGTGCGCGCGCGCGCGCGTGTGTGTGTGTGTGTGTGTGTGTGTGTGTGTGTGTGTGTGTGTGTATGTTGGGGGTGGGGGACATGACAACTGTCTTCTAGTATTTAAAAGGCTGTCACGTGGAACAAGGTTTGGAATTGTCTGCTTGACCTGAAAAGGCAGTTGGAGCTAATGACGGTGGGGGTTAGTTTCAGAGGGATGGCTTTATGTTGGACATAAAGGGAAAAACAAAACAAAACAAAACAAAAACTGACCCTGAACTTCTTGACATTTAGAGTTATCCAGAAATCGAAAGGGTTGTCTGGAAAAATAGCAGATTTTTTTCTTAAGAAGGGGAGGCCTTTCAAAGAAATGCTGGATGATCACTTTGTTAGAGATATTGTAGAACAGCATCCCTGCTGGTCACATATTGGCTTAGAAAATCACAAATTAACATTATCTATGTTGTATTGTATCTTTACTTGTTTTGTTCAACCATTGCCAGTTACATTTGATCTGATTCTAGCTGAGGCTGACATTTCCACTGCAGAAGTGATTCCTATTTAGCTACTGATTAGACTAGATGTACTCTCTGGTCCTTCCAACACTAATATTCTATGTTTCTCTAAGTTAGGGACTGCCTCTATTTGGAAAAATGCATTCTACTAAATGGTCTTTTGGGTAAGTTCTGAAGGATTTAGGGGTCCAATTTATCCTCTATAGATCTTGTTTGTAGGTTGCCTCCCCCATTAAACTGTGAGTTCCCCGAGGGTGGGTTCTATTTTTGCCTTTCCTTGTGTCTCCAGTGCTTAGGATAGTGCCTGGCACACAGGAGGCACTTAATAAATGCTTGCTGACTTGACTTCACAAAAACTTCTGCTAACATAATATTTGTATTTACTTTTATTTACCAAACCTCTTTAGCCTCCTTTCCCACTTTAAGTACCTACTTGTACCAGGGAGAATACTCTCAAAGGCAGTATCTCTAACTCTCCAAGCTTTCATACAAGCCCTGTTCTGGGCCAATTCTGGAGAAAGTGGATCCAAAGCAGAAAGATTATGGGAGGTATTCTCCAGCATAACATTGTGAAAAGAGTATTATCCTCTACCATCACTAACATGAGAGTTCAAATTTCCTCTAGGATGACCCCCAATTCTCTGGAGCCATCCTTTGGTACCCTTGAGGGAAATTTTTGGAGGCAGGGATAACCTAAGGCAAGGTTTCAAATCCCTAGAGCTGCTACTATTCAAATGACATATGCCAGTCTCTTGAGGCCAATCAGAACAATGGGCCTCTAGGGCTGAGGGCTAGGAGGGGCAGGCAAAGTTCCTGCAAAAGGGCATGGTCCTATAAACTTTGTTAGAAGGCAAGTCCCTTGTGCCATTTGTTTACTGGTGCTTACTGATAATGGGAGTAGGGTTAACAGAAACTCTAAAGAATATGGTGCTGCCATAAATTCAGGAATATTTAAACATCTCCTCAGCTGGGCATTGACAATGAAATTCATGTGGTTATGGGAAATTCTATTACTAATTTCCACATTACTAGGCTAACAACACAGGCATTTAATTGTAGTTAATAGGTACTGAGCTTTTTCAGAAACACAAATTCCCATGAAACCTAACCCAAAGGACAAAGAATGGCTAATGCAGAGCTGATTTTAACGCATCCTGCCTGGCTTCCTTCTGGCCCCAGACATGTGGAAACATACTAAAATGTACAAAAATGAGCCTTACCACATTCATCAGGTTCTCATGGTCACCATTTTGTTGTTTTGGCTTCTTTTCTCTGAAATTTAAAATTTGAACTTTTAGTGACATTCCATATTTATATAGACATAGATCTAAAAATGAAACATATAGTACTTCATATACTTGGTTCCCTAGGATTTAGAAAATCTTGCTTTAATTCTTGATAAAATCTTTTTTCTTTCATTTAAAAAAAATGACTGCTTCTTAAGGAAGAAAGGACAGCTAGGTAATCATGCTATAAGTCTTTTCAACTCATTTGTTGGAAGGAAGTTCAATGAGACAATAAAAGCGCACCATAAGCCCATACAAATATTTTTGGTTAGCTTTTACAGAGGAAGTGAACAGTACTGGTGGTGCCAACAGAGTACCTTCTTAGTTCATGCCTCAAAAAGAAGGTGCTGCCTGAAATACATAGATAATTTAAGCCAAAGTGTATGAACATGAATATATATATATATATACACACACACACAGATATATCTACATACATAGATATATATGTACATATATTATACATATTTATTTATATATACACATCCATGTACCTATATGTGTACATATATATGGCAATATATAGGCATGTGTATATATGTCATATAGGGATAGGGTAAGGCAACAGACCTATGATTTCATTGGCATAGGCTAGCATTAGACCTATGATTTCATTGGTATAGGGAATACCAGTATAAGGGAACTCCTACCAGTACAAATCAGCAAATTCTCTGTAACTTATAATCTTCCATATACAGATATTTGGCCTGAAGTATGCAGATGATTTCCTTACCCCTCCAATTTGCTTCAAGAGAGAAAGCCTTTGTTGGAAAAGTTAAGCACTGTATGGGAATTTGGATAAGTAAATATAACACAAATCTAAGTGCTACTGGGGAATGCTTTGTGCACTCAGGATGTTTCAGAGCTCTTTCAAACTATGGTGGCCACAGGTGAGGGGCAATGGGATTCTCTTGCATCGGTTTGAATCATGTTGTCGTCAGTCTTTGAGAAGCAGGATTACCATAGAAAATCTATAAGGGAAGAGTGACATCTAATGGGAGGTAACTTTATTACAAAAACCTACTCTTCCAGATAGAGGCAAACACGCCCTCAAGCTTCTTCTACTCCAGACTCACAAAAAAGTCTGGTTATAGCCTCTAATCCCAAAGGGCTTGATACAGACATGGAAGAAACTGGAATTTTTCTCCAGTCCAGAGAAGTCCATTTCTGCAGTTTTTATCAGCTCTGTTTAGAGATAGAAAGGTACCACTTCGATGCCATTTATTAGATTCTGCCCAAGATTGAATGCGACAAGATTCCCCTCATTTTGAGTCAGTGAATCTCTTTCTAGAGGAGATGATGTATGCAGAATGGCTTTGATTTCCATGGTATCAGTGATATAAAATTTCTCAATAAAGTAATTGTGTTATCTACATTGACGTGAGAATGGCTTTCTTTTCATTAAAAAAAAATCTATCTCTGTGAAATCTATTCACTAACTGAGGTTCTGGCATTTCAAAATCTTATCTTGTCTTAAAGGTGATTGTTCTGACTATTAATTTTAATGCTTCTGTAAGAAGTAAAAGTTCAAAAGTAAAAAAAAAGTTATTACACCGAAGTGTTCAATGAACTATGACTCTGCAGGTTGTCATCTCTATTCATACAATTCATACAGATTTCAAAATATCCACACCTACTTGAAAATAACAAGATATCTACACAAGTGTCAGGTTAAATGAATGGCAAATAATTGCATTCAGAAAGGCCTCAAACACACAGGTGTGTGAACTGTTATCAAAAGAGTGTTAAAATAATGGCTCAATCTTCATTGAAATAGAAAATGGGCTCATCATCATTATAGCTGAGAGTAAATGGGATTAATTTTAATACCCAGGAGCCTCTGCTGTCTGAGTTGTGTAGCAGTAGCTAAAACAAACTATGATATGTTTAGGTGCCAGTAAGCTTGCTCGTCTAAGTCTTACCTTTCACAACTGGAGCACAGAAAGATGAGGAAGGTAATGAGTAGGAAAGTTGCAACAGCTGCCAAACTCCCCCAGATGATTATGTGCACCTGTCCACTATGCAGAAGGCTACCTTCAGGTCCCATGATGGTCTCAGGAGCTGGTACCAGCACGGTTGAATGGTTAGTCCTCCAAGCATTCAGACATCAGTAGCAGAAATGATAGATCCTTCTGGAATGAGAAGTTTTTGGGGGGAAACCTGACATTAAATATAGCTCCAGAATCTAGCAATTACAGCTCAAGCCTATTTAAAACACCCTTGAGAATAATCTACTTTGGGGAATGGAAATGTAGTAACTTTGGCATTCACTACAGAATAAGATTTCATTTGAAGGTGAATATTACACAGCAAACTAATTCCTTAAGTCTACTATAAAAATTAAAATTGGCAAGTCAATAGCTTTATTCATGGTAAAATTTCAAATTTTCCTTGATTCAGAGAAGGAAACATTTAATACAGTTTTTCTTATATGTTCAATTTACTTTCCCCCAATTTTCTCCTCAATGATCTTGACTTTCCTGCTCCCCCATCCCCAAGAAGACTTACAGGGAGTAAAATACATGAATTTCTTTTTAATTTTCATTCACTTGCATAAATCTTTTGTCCATATGAAGATAGTATGTATCACATCTATCAGAACAATATAATTTGGTGCTAGAAGGAATACTGGACAATAATTTCCATGTAAACTTTTAAAAAGTAAAGAAAAAAGGACTCCATATTGATTATCAGGTTCTCCAAAAGGTCCTACCTAAGTCTCTCTCATATGTCATATTAATTGCACTAAGCTCAGAAGAGTAGAAACCCTCCTCAATGAAATCCACAGCAATGGGGAAGTTTGTGTTAATCTTCTACACTGACAAAACAGAATGGATAAAAACAGATGATGTTTCAGCAGGATGAACAGCCCACTGCTTTAATCCACCAGTATCTACACCTTGAGTATGCACTGTGGGCAATGCAGAATTGAGTAGGGTAAGAAAAATGGATTGGATTATGTTTGGGAAATGACACAGCCTCACGGAAAGCACTATTCCTTGCTCACTGCTACAATGTTCCATCTCTTTTTTTTTGTTCCATCTCTTTAACATCAGTATTCTCTCACCCAGAGTATAAAGGTGTGACTCACAGAACACCATGATCTCAGAAGAATCAAACTGACAAATAATCCAAGGACAGTAGAAAGACGTGTGGTGGACATAAGCTGGCTGCAGCATGCTACCAACTACCAAAGAATGATGCCTGAGACCAAAATGGTATAAAAGAAAGCACTGAGGAGGAGTTAGCTGTATGATAGGAAACAGAGCTGGGCAGATCTTGAATGAGGAGCAATGTATCAGGAGCTGAGTGGTATGCTGGAGTCCTGTTTTATTAAAAGAACAACAGCATAGTAAGTGGATCATTTATGAAGCGTTTATAGAAAAAATGACAAGAAGCAATAAGAACTGGATGGAGGGGCTTATGACCTCTTATGACCTCTATCAGTGAACTACACTGATGGAATCCCTATTACCCCCAAAATAAACCAAAGAAAATCATGCCCTGACATAGGCAATGTGGTATGTTAGAAACAGCACTGGATTTGGAGTCTGAGGACCTGAATTCAAATAGTACTGACTTTATTATTTATCATCTGTGTGACTTTGGGCAATTAATCTAATGTTGGTTGAAGTAACTAGGGATGTCTAGCTCAGAGGACAGAAGAATCAGTGCAAGGAAAACATGAAAGCTGTCTTCAAGTATCTTAAGGGTTTTCATGGGTAAAAGGCATTACATGATTTGTTTAGTTTGGCTCCAGAACCAGGAGCTTGATGGAAATGATAACAGTAATTTAGGCTAGAAGTCAGCAAAGATTTCCTAACAATTAGAGCTATCCAAAAATGGAATTGAGTTGTGCTTTGAAAGGTCATGGGTTCCCCCACTTGTTAGGGACATTGCAGTGGGATTTCCTTTCACATGTCATTTGTACTTTACAGCTGTTGAAGTCCCACATTCAGCTCAATTTCTTTGATCCTGTGAAGTCACTTTACCTTTTTTGACTTAATTTCCTCACCTATAAAATAAGGAGGTCAGACTCACAGAAGTTCTATCCAACTCTAAACCAGTGGTCTTAGAACTCTACATAGTATTTTATGCAAATATTAATGCTGGTAAATCGACAGTTTTACTAAAGATAAAATTCCAAATTTGCTTTGTGTCAGAAAAGAAAAAGATTATGAGACATTTTATATAGAGCATCTCATTTAGTCCTCATAAAAATCTTGTGTTAGGGCAGGAATTATTTTCCCCACTTTACAGAGGAAGAAACTGAGGCCAAAAAAGTTAAAGTGATTTGCCTAAGGTTATACAGTCTAAACCATGGGTGGGGAAAGGCCACATGTGGCTTTGAGGTTTGTTCCTTTGGATTCAGTCAAAGGGCTGCTCTTGAGGACCTAGAGGGCCACATGTGGCTTTGAGGCTACAGGTTCCCCACCCCTGGAACTGTCTTCTAGTTTAGTCCACTTTCCATAGTACCATGGCATATCAGAAGCTTAATATTTAGTGAATGAATGCAACTTCTTAGGGAGTCAATATTTATTAAGTGCTTACTACTTAAAAGACACTGTGCTAAGTCCAGGGATACAAAGAAAGGCAAAAGACAGTTACAGCTCTAAAGGAGCTCACAATTTAATATAGGAGACAACTTGCAAATAACTATGTACAAACATGACACGTACAGGATAAACTGGCTAATGTTAATGGAAGGAAATTACTAGCATTAAGAGGAATTAGGAAAAGCTTCTAGAAGGTAGGATTTTAGGTAGGACTTGAAAGACACCAGGGAAGCCAGGGAATAGATATGAGGAAGGAGAGAATTCCAGACATGGGGGACAGACAGTAAAAGTGCCCAGGGTTATGAGATAGAGTGTCATGTGTAAGGAACAGCAAGGGATTGTGTGATTCCATCGTATGTGGGGCAAACGAGGTGAAAAAATATCAGAAGTGGGGGGGGCAATTTATGAATGGCTTTGAACACCAAACAAAGGATCTTATATTTGATGTTGGAGGTGATAGGGAGCCACTAGAATTTGCTGAGCAGGGAAGTGACCAGGTCAGATCACTTTAGGAAGATCACTTTGACAGCAGAGAGAAGAATGGACATGTTGAGTTTAAAATGTCTCTGGGATATTCAGTTTGAGATGTCGTAAAGTCAGCTGAAGATAGGAGACTGAGCCAGGAGGGAGGTTTGAGCTAGATAAGTACATCTGAAAATCATCAGCATAGAGATGATAACTGAATCCACTTGAGCTGATGAAATCACCATGTGAAATAGCATTGAAGGATAGGAGAAGACGGGAAGGGATGGAATCCTGTAGGATCCCCACACTTAGTGAGTGTGACTTGGATGAAAATCCAACAAAGAAGACTGGAAAAGAATAACCAGATAGGTAGGAGTAGAACCAGAGAAAACCTACAGGGAATAGTGTATCAAGGAGAAGAGGATGACCAACTGATGCTGGAAAGTTTGACCAGGGAGACCGTGTCATCAGGAGGGCACCCAGACTCAAAGCCAGAAGATGAAAGAAGTGGGAAAAGAAGAGATTTAAGATGAAAGCCAGTTTGTTGCCCATGGAGCAAAGACGCATGACGCTTTAGAGTGGGACACGGAGCGAGAGGCTGTACTAAGGGAGGGGGGATGGAGATTGAGATTTGATTAATGACAGCTGGGGATTCAGAATCACTGGAATTGGGAGGATATGGCTTGGTAGGAGTTTGTTAATCTTTGACGAATGGGTTAGGGGTAGAATATCAACATCACTGGGTCTCCGGGTAGAATCCTGTCAGGGTGTTAGGCAGCTCAGGAGAGCGATCTAGTGGGTGGAGCTGATGCAATGGTGCTTCTCTTCTTTTCTCACAGGCAGGTTAGTCCAGGAAATAAATACAGGGTGAGAGTAGGATAGAATAAAGTCTCTCTGTCCACTGCAGGCAAGGGTGGGGGAGGTCCTCTGCAAGTGGGAACAGGCCAGCCTAGGAGATAGGCATGAAAGGGAATGACATTTTTCATATCCCCTGTGCCCATGAAGAGGTCAGTCTAAGAGACTAGCATATGATGCAATGGCATCTTCTTAAAATATATTAATTTGATACAACCACAAATTGAAATGCATTTTTAATTAACTAAAAGAAATAATTAAAAAGCAATATCTGTGCTATAAAACTAAAAATTCTCATGTCCAAATATCTTAATTTGTTGTTCAGTCGTTTTTCAGTAGTAACCGACTCTTTGTGATCCCATTTGGAGTTTTTTTGGCAAAGATACTGGAATGGTTCACCATTTTCTTCTCCAGCTCATTTTACAGATGAAGAAACTGAGGCAAATAGGGTTGACTTGCCTAGGGTCACATGGCTAGTAAGTGTCTGAGGCCAGATCCGAACTAAGGAAGAGGAGTCTTCCTGACTCCAGGCTGGGTGCCCTATCCACTGAGCCACTTACCTACCCCAAGTATCTTAATAGTTATGGGTATTTTTAAAAGGCAATGGAAGCTGATAATAATAATTTAAAAAATTTGAACTTCTTTGGTTATCATGCTGTATGAGCACTTGATTTAGAAATATTTGGGTTGCTCATTCTGTAACATGTTTTTTTAGATAGTATTAGAATTTAAGTATAACTGCTGAATAAAACAAAGAAGAGCATATATGAATTCTAGTTTTAGGATAAAGATCAAAATTCACTACTGAAATTTTGTTTCAGAAAGGCAGCTACGATCTGCAGGAATCAACTGAATCGTTGATAGAAAGCAAGTCCCACCTCAATCCAGTCACCCCATCTGCCAACATTATGTGGTCCCCAAAATGGAATAAGAAAAAGCATTTTCCTCCCAAGGGATTTAAATGAGGCCCAATTTTTTCTAGGTGAAACATTATCACTTGTATTTAGATACTTGGGGCTAAGGACTAAAAAAAAAAAACTTCAACTATTACCTTTTTATAGGCAGTTCAGGTCTCTGAATGAACATTACTACTATCCTTTAAGGGCCTATAAATTATGTAATTGAACAATCTTCTCTGCTAAAACTGAGCTCAATTCTCGATGATTATGTCTTGTGGTTGTTAATACAGTACACTTCTCCTCTTTCTTCCTAGCAATGAAGGACAGAATCTTTCACTGTTCACACTGTACCAACGT